CTACTAATCAGGATATAATTAAAGAATAAGGAGTTAATGTTGCTTTTGAAATAATTAAATAATTCTTTTTTAAAAATTAAACACTCTCTATAGATTTACATTGAAGCGTTATTATGATTTTAATTACTGTCAGATATCATCTATAATTGTCCCCCAACTATATTACGTCCCCACTGAACCACTACCTCGTTGTGTCTACTGATTTAATAGTTAGATTATTTAAAAGTTTCTTTAAGCTAACCTTAGCAACTTCTATGTGGACTATATATATATTTGTAATTGTACTTAAATACTTTTTATTATTCAAATTTTAACACGCGTATTCTAAATACATTTAAAAATTATGTTATTTTTGGTAAATATTATAAATTCTTTGATGATTTGTTTCAAATACATATCGAGTGTTTTACAATTTTAATGACTTTCAAATATCAATTGATACTAANATGATTTGTTTCAAATACATATCGAGTGTTTTACAATTTTAATGACTTTCAAATATCAATTGATACTAATCTAAAAAAAATGTTTTAACTCTACTGCGCTGCATCACAGCTGTACTTTTATTTTGCATTAATAAAAACATTACAATGTTTAAAAAAATTATCTAATTTTTAGTTTTATTATGAATTTATCGCGTTTTAAATTAAATTTTCTTTACTGTATCACGGTAAAATATTTTTTTATATACTTATCCATATTCAATATTGACATACAGTAATTTTAAATATATTTTAAATCTTCAATGTTATTATTGCTCAATTTAAGTTGTTTATACGAAATTCGTTTAAAGTAATATATTACCTATTATAACTAGTAATTATGGGATCCTAACAATTTTATCTTTATCAATCATTTTAAGAACATTTATTATCACAATAAGTAACAGAATAAGCTGTTTGTGATAATTTTATGATTAGTATCTATAAAACTAAATAGTAATTGCTATGTTAAAATGTAATATTTTGATATTTTTTTATATTTTACTGAGATATATTTTCTTATTCGTTTGTTTCAAATACAAAATTAATTTTAACTGTTAAATATTTTTCGCTAATAATTTAAATGATAAAATCTCCAGAATTAATCATTAAAGTAATTGATTTCGAAGGGTATATTTTTGACAAGAAGTCTTTGTGGACTAGTATATTTATTTTTTTATTTAAACAAAAAATTATTGATTGAAAAGCTATTTCATATTTTCAAAAATAAAGATGAAGTGTATTAATTCTAAATGCTCATCAAAAAAAATTCTTAAGATTGTCCAACCTTTTGTCTGTGATTATTTCAAGTTACCATATAAACCTGATGACAAAGTATGTATAGATTGTCTAGAAAAAATAATCTTACACAACAGTAAGATGAAAAAACAACTCTCTAATAGACAGTGTGTTTTTGAAAACGAATTTGACAATGAAGATGACGTTTATGTTTTATTATCTGACGATGAAGTAAATGAAAATAGTAATGAAAGTTTAGTAGTTAATGATGAAACATGTAAAACACTTGCAGAAAATATAAACATTATTTTAAATGAAATAAAACCTTTAATTGATGACCAAACTCTTTTGTGTAAAGATCATTTAAATAAATTGAATGATAAAATGATAGACAATAAAAGTAAAATTGATAAACTAGCATATCAAGTTGATCAAGAACTAGAAGAAATTTATTCATTGTTATATAAAAATGAAGAAATAGTTTATAAACATGAAGAAGAAATAAATATCATAGATAATACTAATGCAACTTCTAATTTGAACACAATTACTCAACTGCCTGATGATTTACCTGAGGAAGGAGTTTTGAGAAGACGTTCATTAAAACGTGGTGAAAAAGTGTATGGTATGAAACTGTCACTTCTTCAGCCATGGTTTGAAGCTATTTCTAATACTGCAGCTAGTGAAAGTTATTTTAATGTTACATTTTGCATGAATGGTGAACAAACAAATTTAAGTTACAAAAATTTAGCATATTCACACATTTGTAAATCTCGATTTCCAGTAGGCACCCGTGTTATAGCTAAATTTACAGATGCTAATATAAAAATGACTAATAATTTCTATGCAGGAATAGTAGCTGAGCCTCCGAGCCATTTAAATGGCTATAGGTTAGTATAAAGCAATAACTTAAATAATTAATTGGTATAAAATTAATTTTTAATAAAATTCATCAAAAATAATATTTATAAACAATATTTAATATTGTGTACAAATATTTGTATATAGAAGCATATGAATTGTTTTATGATTAAAAAAAACGCAATTCAAAATTATTAATAATTGTGCAAGTGTTCAAAAATTTTGTATCAATATAAAACAGAAAAATCAAATAAAAAATTTCAATTTTGTTCTATTAGTTAATAAAAATCACAAATAAATAAATTTTATTATTATTATATTTACAACTTCGCTGCTATATGCCATTAGTATATATAAATATTATATAAGTATATAAAATTACAACTACTTAAATTCCCTTTAATAAAAATATAAATAAATATAAGACTTTTTTTATTATTTTTTTTTTTAACTTCAAAATGACCCTTTATAATATTTGCCTAAAATATTTTAATGAATTGCTAATCATTTTTATGACAATTACTTATTATGTATTGTCAGTAGTATAGCCTCTGTTGGTGTATGTATGATATTATATAGTACATATTATAGTTATAATACATTCCCATTCTATATATTAAAATTCTTGTAAATTATTAATTTGTCAATTGTTTTTAATTCATTTAAATTTTAGTAAAAAATTGCTTATAAGTGGCTAGTTTTTAATTTAAAAAAAAAAATAAAATATCACTCTTTTTCTTATTTGAGATAAATAATAAATAATATGGTTTTAGTATAGTAAAAAAATTAAAAAATTGTTTTAAACAAAAATTACAGAAAAATGATTATTGAAAGTTGTTAGTTAAGTTTGGGATAGATGTATTTATCATTTTAAACTTTTTTGAAAACCGTTAAATTGATACTTTGGAAAAAAAATTGAGTTATCTGGTTTTTGTATAGTCTTTCAATTAGACTTTATTTACCTAAAATTCTTGTATAAATTTTATTGATGAAATAATGAATTCCTTAACAAAATCTAATTCTAATTTTCTGAAAAATATTTGTTACAGGTATATGATTTTCTTTGATGATGGTTATGCACAATATGCCTATCATAAAAATATACGTTTAGTTTGTAGACAGTCTGAAGATGTTAGCAATGATGTCCATGAAAATATTAAAGAATTTATAAAAATTTACTTGGATAAATATCCTAATCGTGCTATGGTTAAGTTCAATAAAAAACAGCGTGTACGTACTGAATTAGACAATAAATGGTGGTTAGCTAAAGTAATAGACTTAGATGCTTCATTAGTAAAATTAAAGTTTTTAGATCTTAATTATAAACATGAAGAATGGATGTATCGCGGATCAAATAGATTGGCGCCAATACATAGTCAAATCGGAAGGAACAAACATAGATATAAAGCTTTAGCTAATGTAAATAAAACTTTAAATCGACCTTATGTAGAATTTGAATATTTCGGACAAAAAAAAGGAGATTATTTACCATGCCAAAAAAATGTTCATATAGGAAATCAGGGTTATGTTGAAAATATTCAAATACCTAATAACTGTGTAAAACCACTCACTTACAAACTTCATCAATGTAATTTATTTTGTACCTTATGGGTGAATTATGAAGTTTCTAAAACCAAATCAATGAGTGCTTTGAGTATTCCTTTACATTTTGGTTTCCAAAGATCTCTTATTAAAGTTAAAAATTCTGAAAATACAGTCATATATACAACACCATGTGGATCTAAAATGACAAACATAAAAGAAATGTACAAATATTTAAAAGATACTGAAAATAAAATGACAATAGATTTTTTTGATTTTAATCCCAACATTAATCCTTTGGCTGAATTTAAAAATGGAGAATGCATATTGTCAATTAGTGATGTTTCTTATGAATCAGAATTTAGACCAATAAGCTTGGTTAATACTTTAGATTCATCATCACCTCCATTTGTGACTTATATAACAAAACGTAAAGTAATGAAAGGTGTTAATTTATGCACAGATATAAAGTTTTTAACTTGTTGTGATTGCACTGATAATTGTGAAGATAAATCTAAATGTTCTTGTTGGCAACTTACTTTAAGTGGTCAGGAAGTATTACCTCATGTTTATAAAGATGACAAAATTGGTTATGTTTACAAGAAGTTGTACAAGTGTGTTCTTACAGGAATCTATGAATGTAATACAGCTTGTCAATGTTCAGACTCATGTTTAAACAGAGTTGTACAACAACCAATTATACATAAACTTCAAGTATTTCTGACTAAGAAAAAAGGTTGGGGAGTTAGAACATTGAACGACATTCCTCAAGGTAGCTTTATATCCACATATGTTGGTCACTTATCCACGGATAATGATGCAGAAGTTGATGGAATCACTTATGGTGATGAATATTTAGCAAATTTAGATCATATTGAAGCTGTTGAAAACTATAAAGAAGATTATGAGAGTGATGTTCCCCCAGAAGATGAAATCAGTGATGAAACTTCTTGTAGTTCTGATGAAGATTTTCGCCCTACTCCTAAAGTAATAAAAAATATGAGCTTGTATGGTTGTGAGATGTCTTTAAGAAATGCTCAAAATGCTAATACAGAAAAAGACGGTACTCATAGATTATCCAAATTAAATACTAAACAGTTAGTCAAAGAAAAACAAAAATCAATACGCAGTTATTTTGGTGATGATGATATATATATTTTGGACGCCAAAACAAGTGGAAATGTGGGACGTTTTTTTAATCATTCTTGTGAACCTAATACGTTTGTACAAAATGTTTTTGTAGATACACATGACTTGAGATTTCCTTGGGTGGCTTGTTTTGCAAATTCATTTATTCCAGCTGGTACAGAGCTTACATGGGACTACAATTATGATATTGGAAATGTTACAGGGAAAATTTTAATGTGTAACTGTGAATCAAAAAAGTGTAGAGGAAGACTGTTGTAGTTATTTAAACTACTTATTAGATTATTTATTTTTTTTACTATCAAAATTATGTTTTAAATTACAGAGTTTAATTTTTATTTATTAATATATATAATTGCAGAATTACAAAACAAAAATGATTTAGTACTGAATAAAATTTGATACAAATAGAAACACATACCTTTTCCTTTTAATTCATCCTGTTCAAAAATAAAATTTACATTAATTTGAGCAAGGTTAGATTTTTAGAAAGGGCGTAGAGTGCATAAAATACTCCATCCACCAATAAAGTTAAAATTCCAGCCAAATATTTAAAAAAAGAAGTTTAATTAAGTATACTTAATGGGCTAGCTGTTTTTTTTATAAAGTAAATAAAACTTGCTTAATTTTTTTGTATTGATGACATTATATATTTGTTTCTAAAAAATGATAAGTTATGAAATTTCGAAAAAAATTCTGTTAAAATTAAGATAAATCTAATCATGGTTGCTAAAAATTAAAAAAATTTTAATTCGCCTAATATCCATGATATTTATAATGGTTCAAAAAAAAAGTCTTAAATAAACAAAACTTCAAATATTTTCTCAGCTTCGAATATAATCTATATTTTACATAATTTTAATATGACATGTCTTTTTTATGTCTGTCGCCATTTTTACTACTCTCATGGGACCGATTTCTTTTAAAGGTGCGTTAAAAGATTACAAATCATAACAAATAGAAAACATTGTCCTCAAAAATTGAAAAAAAAATCCTGTTTCTCTATAAATGACGGAAATCTTCAAAAAAAATTGTAATTTTTAAAATCGGTAAATTTCGAAATTTTTAAATTGTCATAACTTTTTTAAATAAAACGTATTGTACGGACGCAGCTAATCAAAAAAATGTTATATAAATAGCAATAAAGAGACCGGCCGTTGTTTTTCTGATAAGTAACCAGTGACATAACATACGAGCTCGCGCGAGTACATACTGTTTAACTTATATATACGTATCTTTTTAATACAGTCCACTATATAAAAAGCCATAACTATTGAGTTCGTTATTAAACAAATAAGACTCGTGAGAATGAATAACCTTTCCTCAGCTTAACACGTATCAAGACAATTTTTCTTTTTATAAATACCTTTGGTGATTCTTTTTTGTTTTATATATTGTCTTAATCTGACCCTTACCTATCCATAGAGGAGGTTCAAAATAAGAACTTATGAAATACTTTTTGCGGAAATACTCCAAGCTTCAAAGATATGTTAGTTTAAAGCATATTTTACGTACTATAAGTTAAAAAAATATTTATCCTGACACTTTATGTTTATATATAAATTGTAGTTCAAAAACATGCTATTTTTGTGTTAAAATTTTCGATTATATATTTTTTACTTTAAATCGTCATAACTTTTGAAAAATGTATGCATTATAATAATTTTTTTGTAATAATTGTAAATGGTATATGCATATCCCTTTTATTCGATATACTTTTTTACTTTAATTTCAAATACTGTGCAAAGAGGAGGCTACAGTGATGGGGTAACCGATTTTCGTAAATATTATGTGAATGTAATTTACATCAAGTAATTTATAAGTATAATATACGAATAAATACTTAAATATAGTAATTAAATTTAGTATAAAATTAATATCGAATAATTTAGTATTGTAAATTTTACAAAAAAAAGTATTAAGTTGAAGTATACAGAATAATTTTATTATTATCTACTCGATTTCTCTTAAAATAATTTTTATGTTAAGAAAATTATGTTTGGTATATTTTAATTTTATGTGTTTTACAATTTATTAATTATTACTTTTTTCATAATTCATCCTTTATGCCTTATGAAGGTGTCATCTTTGTTTTTTTCTTTGCTGCGCTCTTACTTAACTCTATAATTTAAAATGTTAATAAATTCAACTAACATTTTTATTAAAAAAAAAATTGTGTATAGTTTAGCATGAATACAAAGATACTTTATAAATAGTTAATAAATTATCATTATTCTACCATTTATTACAAATAACTATCAATGTTTAAATTTCATGCCTAAATGCATGCATTAAACTCATTTTTATTTTGGCTTACCTGTAAAGTGACAAAAATATAATATATGACCTTTTTTCTTAAAATTGTTGATAAATAATTAAACTTAAAAAGTATACATACATCACTTATCTATTTATTAATTAATTAAAAACAAATATTTATTGTTCTATAATTTTTATATTTAGTCTTTTGGATTTAAAAATACATTATATGGCAATCAAAAAAAATATATCTACATACATTTATATAAATTATATGATTCTACAAAAAAATTGTAGAATTTAGAAGTTTTGCATTAAATATATGAATTTAATTATATCATTAATATTTATTATCAACATAGAATGATGATAATGGTCACATAAAGTAACTAATTAGTTATCACAAATAGAGAACGAGTCACATTAATAATATTATACTTAATAAAGTACACTATAAAATATATTTTTGGGCATTTAACAAAAATATATAAGTCTTGAGTATAAAAATATAAATATAAAATACTGATAAGGCTTTGTTTATTTATGTTAAGGTTTGAATGCATCATTAGATTATTTTAATTATCTATAAACAACTATATACTTAGTCAAACAAAATTTTTAATAAATAATCTAAATAAGTAAGTCTTAAATATCACTTTTTACTATGAAAGAAATTCACTGAAAGATGATCTTCTTGAGGGTGCTGCTTGTAATGGTATAGTAGAATCTTGGTGTTGACCTTGAGTAGGAAGATCAAGTAATGTAATTGGCGAAAACCTTACTCTAGCTGTTGACGTAGAAGCAGAACTTTCTCTAGCTGACATGTAGCTGCTATCATCACTAGTCAAACTATCTGGTGGTGTTAAATTTGCTGGTGAGACTAAAAGAAACAGATNATCTGGTGGTGTTAAATTTGCTGGTGAGACTAAAAGAAAAAGAAAATACTTAGAAATTCTGTTAATATATTATTCAACTTAAAAAAAATTCTAACCAGGACTTGATGAACCAACTCCAGTCTGGCGGCTACCATATATAGTTTTTTTTAAACTCGATCTCAACCTTGAAGGAGCATTAGGCTAGAAATTATCACATTAAATTATTAATATGCAGTATTATTTTAATTTCAAAACATTAATATGTACATATTTCATTAATAAACAAATTAATTTTTGTCATAGATTAAAAAAAAAGACTTAAGTAATATTATATTTGATTTATACAATTGACACAAAGTAAATTGTTAAATTAAAAATAAATAAAATTAACCCAACACTACAAAAAGCATTTGAAGAAAATCTGCAAATATGTGTATTTTGAAAAAATCAACATTAATTAACTATAAGTAATCAATTATAACTTTTTAATTATTTTTTTAAATAAATTTCAGACCTTAAAATTAAAAATTAGTTTATAACCTAATTTGATAAAAACTATACTATTATTGATAAATTTATAAAAATAGATAATTAATGAAAATACCTCTAGTGCAGCTGATCGTTCAAATGGCATAGGATTTTCTTGGGTAAAATAATTAGAATAATCACCAGCTCGTCTCAAGTATGGTAGAGATAATGATGTGTCACTTATATTTCTTTGGTTGTATTCTTCAGGTTCTAATACAAATGTAGGGTTTCCGCCTCCACAATGGTAACGCTCTTGACTTTTAAGATTTATTGACTTTAAGTTTAAATTATTTACAGAAGGGTTATCATACGCATATAAAACATTATTTTCATATTCATATTTATTTTCATTTCCACAATCACTAGACAATTGCCGATATCCTAAAATCATAAAAATGATTATATAGTTAATTATTTAATAGTTCCAACTATAAAACATCTGTAAGTATAAAAAGTCTTATGAAANATCACTAGACAATTGCCGATATCCTAAAATCATAAAAATGATTATATAGTTAATTATTTAATAGTTCCAACTATAAAACATCTGTAAGTATAAAAAATCTTATGGAATGTATTATAAGATTATATGAATCTAATAATGTAAATTTTTATAGAAATTAATAATTGCACAAATATTTATTTAAAACATTGATAAAAATTTATTCTATAGTTTAAATAAAATAAGTAAATTTTTTTAATAAAATAAAAGTTAAAAATTATTAAAAAGTTAAGAGTGTTAAATGATCTAACGAAGTAAAATCATCAATTAGAAAATTAATAATCCGCATTAATATGTAAAAATAACTCCATATGTAGGATAATTATAATAACAACTATTCATATTTTAAAAAGTTTCCATTTGCAAATTTTATATATATATTACTAAAAATAATATTAAAATACTAAAAAACATTAACTTACTAGTGGGTGAAATAAAATCTGCTTTTCTACAATAAGCACTAAAATTATGACCATAAAATATCTAAAAAAATGAAATGAATCTTTTACAAATTAATTTTCCTACCACAATCAAATTATGAGTACATACATCACTGTTATCTTTACTAGATTTTCTTTTAGGGGAAGATCTAGATTTTTTCCTTGATCTACTAGAACGATGTTGAGGACTATCTGTAAATCTTAAAGGTTTAGTTTCATAACTGTGTGTTAAAGGCAAACGGAGATGTCTACTTGGTCCATGATAAGTATTATGCTTATGGGCTAAAAAAAATATAATTATAAAAAATATACAATTAATGTAAGCTTTAAAATAAATACAATGTGTTGATGATTGTTCACAGTCAGTTGAAGTCAAACACACACGAGACCCTGTTTCAGAAGTCCATGGTTCCAATTGATTGAGACTACAACAAAATTTATATTAAATTTAATTAATTATTCTCAAATTAGTCAGTAAAATAATTAAGTTACCTAGAATGTGAAAAATTTGATGAGCTAGTCTTAATGTCCATACCTATTACAAAACTGGCTAACAATGAACCAGCTTTATGTAACAAATTTTCTACAAGTGTAGATTTAGTGGAAGCAGTCTTAGATGATGTACCTACAGTTTGAGGGCTAGGTGACAAACTATCATTTTCTGAATAATTTTTATTCCACATTATATTTGAATCATCATTTATCCAATCACCAATCATAGGTCCGCTATAATCTGCAGAGTAAAGTATTTATCATTAAATGTTTATTAAAAAATAAATATGTATTAAAGATTGACAAAAATANAATGTTTATTAAAAAATAAATAGGTATTAAAGATTGACAAAAAATAGCTGTTTATTCTATAAGATAGTTTTAGTTTTTAATTAAATAATAAGAAATAAATTAAACATTAATAATAAAATACTTTTAAAGAATTATGAGTTTATTTCATAAAAACATGAGTAAACATATTACTTTCAGAAAAATACTCTTTAAAAAAAATTATTGTTTTATTATTACTAGTTGACGATTAAAATGGAAATTGAGTACATTTTCTCAGTACAATGATAATAGTTAATAGTATTAAAATTTTAATATTTGGATTCGGATTGTTATCAATTTGTTACAATCTAAAAAAATATAATAATACATGCAATTTTACTAATTTTACAATAAGCTTTAAAAATTAAACATGCACAATAGTTTACTCTAATAAATAGTAATAATAATCTATAACACATTATTATTATTATTAGATTTTAAATTAAGCAAATTGTAATAGCAAATGTTTACTTACCATATGTAATACTTATACTCATATGTAATGAGTCCAATACTAAAATCTGTATTACATAACAAAATTATTTTACTACTTTACTATTTTACTATCTAATAAAACTATTTTCAAAACTCAATTAGTGGTATTTTCTTTATTTTTATAATTTTTTATTTTTTTATTTTCCCAGTATAAATTATATGTAACAGTATTTTAAATAATATTTATAATAAAATATAAGTTGTATAATGTACTAGATTTCTTCAAATATTTCAAGTTTTAAATAAATATATTACTCTTAATTCTAGAAAATATTATGAGCATATTTTTATACTATTATTAAAAATTAACAATACTTAAAAAAAATGGAGCAAATTATTTCCATAATTGCACTAAAGCCTAATACGTTGGTCAAATGGTACAAGTATTGAAAAATGTAAATGTAAACAATAAAAGTAATAGCCAATAGGCTTATGTCTAAAAATGACAAACAGAATTTTGTGTATTATTAATTTTGGAATGTGTGCCCCTATTTTTTTAATAGTAAACTATAATATAATAAACATATCAACAGTCAAGCGGTGCTTCAAAGCACAAAATAATAAGCTTCAATTTGAAATAATAATAATAAAAATAAAAATGTTAACAATTAATAACAATTGAAAAGTAAATATATGGAATTTTCAAACCAGAACCATTATTAATTATTGATGAATGTTGTTTTAATTTTTTTACCCCGCCACCAAAAAATGATTTATGTAATAAGAGGTTAAGGGGTTAAAATAATAAGTTTAGGATGCAAATATTATAGACTTAGGGTCTCGTCGTCACCAATGTTCTGTAGGCTGGTACCTATTTCTTGTAATGCAGCAAAATTCGAACGCACTGATGTTGGATGTTTTTCTAGATTAGGTGCTGAACGCGACCATCCTTTTATAGTTGAAGAAGTTGGTGATGACTGATATGACGGACTTCCACAAATAATTTGTACACGTTCACGCTGGTGTAATGTACTTGGACCCCATGTTTTTCCTTTTATTCCATCAGCTGGAACTGCAAAATAATCATCAAGAAGGACATAAGAATATGTTGTAATTCTTTTTGGATAAACTTTACAATGATAAAAATTACAATTTTATCTTCAAAATTTGAATAAAGCATTATGAAAATGCATAATTATAAAACCAGCCAAATTTATTCCAACAAAAAAAGTAATCCCAAAAAACAAATCACAAAAAAGAATACAAAAATATCTTTTGGATAATTAATAAATCAAGTTATAGAATGCTTATTTTAAAAAAATAGGAAAATCTTTTTTTAATTCAAATATGTTGAAAATAAAAATATAACATAGCAACAAAAATAGTTCTTTTAAATAATAAAATTAGTAGAAAATTTCACACAATGTTAATAAACAAAAAATATAAAACTGCAATAACGAGAAAAAAATTCATAAAGATTAAAAGCTTGAAAAAAACTGCAATTTTATTTTTATTAGTTTTTTTTTACTATAGATTTTTGTAAAACTGAAAATAATTTTTGTGTTAACTGATTTAGTGTTTGATACTTGATTATTGGAAATAAAAAATACCAACTAAATTATGAAATAATTGTCGTACCTCAAATCTAATCACAACATTATCTCAATTTAATTGCTTTAAAAAATTCACCTATATATTGTAGACAATAGAAAAATATTTATTATTTGTTATCTTGGGTAATTCTTAGATATTTTACTTCATGTAAAACAGAGAAGATTTAATAATATACTCATTTAACATTAATATATTATGAATTTAAAACCTGTTTGTTTTCTAAAAAGTCCTCTGTTAAAAGAGCATAAAAATACTAATAATTTATTAACATATACATTTTTATTCATTATTAAATATTTAAAATCAGTAATATCTAGTAAATAACATTTATTATATATATTGAGATATTGTTATTAATGTGGCACTGTGTTATGTATAGAATTGAGTATTTAAAAAATAATTGATTAAAATATATAAATCTTTAAATGTTAAAATATAAAAGGTAATTAATAGTTTTAAATTGTGTTCAACTTTTCAAATTACTTAAATATTAAAAATTAATAAAAATTAACTAGTTAAAAATCACAAATATGAATCAAAATAAAATAAACAATCAGTTTAAAACATATAAAACATTGTATACAAAAATATGTAAATACAGTAAATTCTACTTTCAACAGACACTCTAATAGACAGAAACCTATTTTAAATGGGGAAAATACAACAGTTCTAGTTTTTTTTTTATAGAATAAAATTAACCTCTATTAAATGAAAATCTTCTTTTAAAAAAAAAATTTAATTCAAAGTGTTTCCATTGAAAGGATGTTTCACTGTAGTATAAAATGAGCAAAGTGTGCATATATAAAAATAAACACATAGTTTTAAATATATAAACAAATATTAAGAAATTTCAGTAGTAATAAATTTATGTAGTTTCTTAATTATAACTTGTAGTATTCATGTTAATAAATTTTCTAATTAAAAACTCTGTTATTGGAGATGTTATTACCCTAGATGATGTTATTTATAATTAAAAATCTCTAAAAATATAAACAATAAAACGGGGTTCCTAGAATATATTTAAATAAATGTTAAATTAATAAATATTAAAACTTCAGTATTGAAGTAATATTATTTAGAGTATTTAATATAGATTTAAAAAAATAAAAAATATATTTTTTTTTATTATTTATAATCAATTCATCAAAATTGATTTTTCTCATTGATATATTAAATATGAGGTTCAATTTTTTTGATAGGAAAAACTGAACAACATATAGTCATTCAGTTTAAATAACATAGTTAAAATCACATTTTCAAAAAAATTTTTAACCAACACCATTTATTCATGACCACACATCTATAAAACAGTTATAAAGATCTATTATTAAATAGATCAAAATAATAAAAATGAGCATACCTTAATAATCTTGAAATAATGGCCTAACATCACTAACTTTCATTAACTTAAACTTCCAATAAAAGTGGATGTTAATTTTTTATTCTAATAATATTTGTGAATAACGAAAATTAAAACCATATTTTCATTATAATTTAACTTATTTTTGAATCAAATAAAATCATCATCAATTGCAAAAATTCAACAAACCTGCAATTTGCAATGCATAATTCAACTATGCATATAATAAAATGAACTAAAAACAAGAAAATCTATATTATTTCCTTCCTAATAAATTTTGAACAAGAATAATTTAATAGCATACAACTAAAAAAAATAAATTTAATTGTTAATGTTTTTTTAAGTTCCTAACAATTAATCCTTATACAATCCAGTATAATAATTAATCCTTAAACTTAAAAAAATGATGGAAAACTACCTACAAAATAACTTAAGTATTAATATTTTCTATCATTGGAGCGTTTGACATATAATGTAAATTAAAATTATAAATCACTAAAATCTAAAGTAATATAGTTGGATGTTAATAATAAAATAATATAATTTTATAAAAACACTACAACTTAAACTGCTTTTATTAATACATAGCAAACTATTAAAAATAAAATTATAACTTACGTGCAATAGCTCTCAGTCTAGGAATGTTAGGAGAACCAGGGGGACTATTGGGACCAGATGTATCACGGTTTTTCCTATCTCCAGTATGTTGTACGGTGATTGTATGTCGGAAGTCTATATAATATATAAAATGTATGTTCAATACTTTTCTAATAAAATGCACTCTCACAAATTTAAATTATTACCTGATGGAGAACTAATAGGTAATTGATTTGGTTCTTTTTTTAACATTTTTAGCAAACTTGACTTTTTAAAATGACCACGTCGTTTATTTGGAGTAGGAATAGCTGGTGATGCTTGTTGTTGTTGCATGATAATATTTAATTCCCACTTTAGTAACTCCATTTCACGTGCTTCCAAATCTCTTTCTCTTTGCTTCAGATGTTTTTCTGCAATTTGTTGTTGTACTTGAGCTCTAGTCAGTTCTTCTTCACGACATCTCAACTCCTAGAAAAAATATTTGTATAAAATTTAATTAAAAAATTACTATACACACACTAACTTACTTCTTCTTTAGACATAAAATCCTTTAGCAAGCATTAAAAATTAAATAATTATGGTTAAAAATTAAGCATTAAACAATTAATTAGTAATTTATATTTTTAACAATAACAAAAATTGTCACCTTTTCTTTCATACGCAATCCATTCAGAACTTGTTCAATTTCGACTTTCCAAACATCCTGTAATGTATGAAATGACTCATGTGGTGTTTTAGTAAAGGCTGAGTGGACAATATCATCTAATGATTTTAAAATATCTTCAAAACTAGGCCTCATATGAGAATCTGAATGCCAGCAAGCTGAAAATTAATAGTTGGAAAATTAATTTTCTTAATAACAAAATTAATTCCTAAAATACCATACCTTCCATAAGTTCTCTAAAGGGATGTGGACAAGTTGATGGAATAGGAAGAGTAAGTTTATTCACTGCAACACCATAAGCAACTGCTAATGCATCTATTCCTTTATAAGGTGTTTCACCAGTAAGAAGTTCCCATAACAAAACGCCGTAGCTAAATAAAAATTAAATTAATTGTTTTACACTAAACAATATATTAATATATTAAAAATTGAAGTGCGCAATTAAAATTAAAAACACAAATTTTATTAATCAAAGGACAAATAATGGATGTATGAAATTGGATTTTATATTAAGATTATATAGTTGGTAAAATAACATTAAATATTTTGCTTACCTCCAAACATCACTAGCTTTTGAAAATGTAGATTTTTTTATTACTTCAGGTGCCATCCATGCATATGTTCCAGCAGCTGACATGTTAGTTGTTTTATAAACTTCTCTTGCTAAACCAAAATCAGTAATCTTCAAAGTTTTAAATTGAAAATCATTATTTTCTATCGGTTCATTCAACAGCACTAAATACAAATATATATTACTAGTTTAAAAGTTAAACTTTTAAAAATTATAGAATATTTCAACAATATTTCATAATATATTCTTTAAGAAATTAATAAACATCAAGTGATTAAGTGGTCTTAAACATTTAAAGATGTTTTTTTTATTTATGTCCTTAAAATATCTATAAAATATAAAAGAATAAGTTTACATTACAAATTTATGTAATTTTATTGTAAGTTTTTAAAATTGTAAATAGTTTTTATGAAAACTACAAATTAAATTTTTATTCAAAATGATCTTGATTATCACAAGGTTTTATGAATTTAAAGGCATTTGTTATTAAGGTTTCATTTGGATTCATAAAACTTTTAATATCTAAAACAAATTCTTTATACTTATAGATTATATTAGTTATATATAGATAGATATAACATATAATATATCATATTTATTGATTCAATATACTTAAAATAATATATTTAATAAAAAAAAACAGAGTGACTTCAGAAATGAATGAAAAGTTAGAGTTTTTAATCTTTTAAAATTCTTCATTTATTTTTATTTTGATGTCACATTCATAATGTTAATAAATATTTGTTTTCTGGAAAATTCTCTATAATAATAAGATAAAAATATTTATAACTCACATAAACATATTCTTAATCTTTGCAAATTTTAATTTCTCAACAAATAATATAGTATCAAAAATTGTGATATTGCAGTAGGATATAATTTAGATATTTTCTTTATTATAAAAATTATTGGCAACATTTAATTACAATCAGATAAAAAAATTATTTAGTTAAAAACTCAGTGGCGTTTGTTCACTGGAAGTGTTCATTCATTGGTATTGTTACCCTTTAAGAAAACTATTTTAGGCAAACCATTCATAATTTCAAGACTTTCATTAGAAACCCTGGATTGAGAGATAATCTTAGTAGATCATTTTTTTAAAAGTTTTAACTATTTAATAGGTTAATATAACATGAAAATTATTTGACTTATTTACCATTAGATGATTTTAAATCGCGATGAATTAGTGATATTGGAGCACCATTATGTAAGTAATTCATTCCTCTAGCTATTTGAATTGCCCAATCAACTAGAACATCTGGTCGAATCTTTCTTCCCATCAAAACTCGATTTAATGACCCTCCCCTAGCATATTCCATCACTAAACATAAATTTGGCACTTGCAAACATACTCCTAACATAGATACAATATTTTCATGATCTAATAACCAAAAAAGGTTAGCTTCTTGTTTCACATTTTTCACTGTTTCACTAATATCTTCATCTGGATCTTGACGAGCTGCTTTAACAGCAACTTCTTTATTATTCCAATACCCACGATAGACTTTACCAAAACCACCAACTCCAATAACTTCTTCAAGTTCAAGTTCACTGAAGCCAATTTCAGTAATATGGACATTACCAATAAGAGAAGGAACGTTTTCTAATATATTGTTTTCGGTGACAAAATTTGCTGGGAATATACCTACTTTATCACCGAGTTTACCAGTCCACCATCCTTCATCTCCTGATATCTTTGCATCAGTTGAAAGAACTTCAACAATATCACCTCGTTTTAAACTTAACTCATCTTCTCCTTGAGCTTCGTAATTGTAAATTGCAGTCCATAATGGTAAATTTGTTGGTGGTTGAGTAGGACATTTATTTTTTTGATATGACGATGTATTTACATACGTTGTATTTGGGCTATGAAATTTTGAACGTGACGGAGAATAAGGGTTGCGCAATTTGGAGTTGACAAAACCTGGACCAAGGTGTTCCATGGACGCCAAAGCCGGAGGCATTCGTTATAGTTGTTATCTGATTTCTAAAACACTTTGACGACGGTAAAAATCTTTCACCATAATTTTTCATTCAACTTTTAACAAATTTACTAAATATTATTTACTATCTTATCAGGGTGATATCTAAAATACTTAATTTTCTCAATTTTTATGTAAAAACTATAGTCTTGTAACTGATGTAAATGTAAAAGTTATTTTTAATAAAAGAAACAAGGTTCACAATAATATAGTCAAAAATTATTTTCAATAAATATGAAATAGCTACAAATCAGTCATTAACTACAATTGTCTGTTCTCATCAATTTTCATTTTTCGTCGCCATTTTGAATTTTAAAATCCTGTTATCTCCATAAACTTGTACAACTCGATAAAATTATATTATAAGGTCTTTGGATGAAAATCATTATGACTACCTAATAGGTAGTACCTATCTCTAGTACAACAAAATCTATAATAATAATTTTAAAGTATAAGTTATAATTCAAGTAGTAATAAAAAATTTCACCACATTTAAGTCAATATATAATTTCAAATTTCTTGATTTATCTAGAATTTGTGTTGTTTTTCTATTAATTATATAATTTTTTTATTGCTTTAAAATATAATAAAATATTAATTGTCTCTTCTATAATGGATAGTGATGTTATTAAAACTTTGGATCCTTTTTATGAAGCCGTTCAAAGTTTACGTAAGCGTAATTTTGAAAAATGCATTGAAAATTGCTCTAAAATGTTATCACTCAATCCTTATGATCAAGTAAGTTGTAATTTTTTGATTAGAAAGAGTAATGCACCTAAAACATTAAATAAATGAATAGTTTAAATACATTTTTTCTCACACAAATACAAATATTTAAAAATAAAATGTTGGTCAAAAACAACTACAAATTATACTATTTTGAAGTTTGCATATAACACATTTCAGCCATTATATGACTAAGTTCATTTTTAAAATTTGTCAATGTTTTTGCAGCTAAGGGATATACGTGGTCTTTAGAATTTAATGAACCAATCAATTTTTTGATGAAATTTAAATATTATTGAAAATTTTTTTTTGTTCAATTGTTTATTCATTATACCTTATAAAGGTTTTTAAAATTATATCTTCAAATGGTCATATACATAATAGATAAGCTTATTTATTAGATATTGATTTAATTATAAAAATGACTGGTCGTTACAACTTTTGAACCAGTATTTCAGAAATTATTAAAAATTCAAGTGATAAAAATAACTAAGTATAAAAATTTTAAAAAATTTCTAAGGTATATGTCCAAAAATTATTATCAACTAGTCATTGTCTAAATTAGATCATTATTTAATAAATAACCAGTGCCTGAGACTTTATGCATTTATAAATTTTATTTATATAGGCTACGTGGGCCCTAAAGATGAGAGCATTAACCGAACAAATGTATGTAGATGACATAGAAGCTGAAGAAGAAGGTATAGCTGATTCGTATTTTAACTCTGATGCTATTGCTGAAAATGCTAAACTTGGCACATCTCTGAAGACAGCATCAAACACTTACATTAATAGGTAAATACTATAATGCTTTTATTTTCAATTTTTAATGCATGTATAAGATTTTTAGTAATGAATAAAACTGGTTTTTATTGTTCTCATTGTTTATAATAATTGACTTGTTTCTTTTCTTACTGAACAACCTGTATATTTCATATTGTAGACCTCAAACAATCAGTGGTCGGCCATTAAGTGGTGTCATTCGCCCATCTACTTCAGCTGGTATGGGTAACAGTTTACAGAAAACATTAAAAACTCCACGTACTGTCAATAGTTCAAGACCATTAACTTCCCAATCTGCCAGAAATGTAAGATTTGGTACTGCTTCAATAGTGCCTCAAATAGATGGACCTTTCATCAATATATCTCGTTTAAATTTTTCAAAATACGCATCAGATAAGCAGTTATCAAAAATTCTCTTCAATTATATATATTACCAGCAAAATGATATAAGAAATGTAAGAATTCAATTATATATGCGTACAAAAATTCTTGTATGATACTATAATATATCGGTTGTATAATTCAGGCATTAGATTTTGCTGTAATAGCAACCAAGTGCTGTAATAATGAGGATCCTTGGTGGAAAGTTCAATTAGGTAAATGTTATATCATCCTTGGTTTACTTAGAGATAGTGAAATACAATTTCGTTCTGCATTACTACATGGTCCTAATATTGAAGTATTTTTACGTTTATCGCGATTATTCATACGACTAGATCAACCTTTAAACTCTTTGGATATTTGTCAGCAAGCATTATCATGGTTCCCTCAAGATGTTACTATATTGACAGAAATGGCTAGGTATAGCTAAAAAAAATATGCACTTGAAATTTGAATTTTTTCACTTGTTAATAATATAACTGTTTTCTAGATTTTTACTCTTTATACTGTACTTATTGATTGTACTTAGACAAAGTTTAACTAATCTAACTTTTATAAGTTGAATATAATTTCAGAACAAATTGAAATTATAATTTATCATAAGCCATTGAAAGCTAGAACAATTTTTTTCTGTGAAAAAACCTCTAAAGTCTCCTCTCAATATGCTTTTAAAATGGATTAATATCTGAAAACTTTACTAAAAATATTTAATTTTAATAATACCTTAATTTCATAACATATTTTTTTTATTTTAAGGAGCTATTTTTAAAAATTAGAAGTGTCTGACCATAAGTCATGCTTTAATTTAAATTAAAAATGTTGCCTTAAGTATACAAACAATAATGGCATCTACAATGTGTGAATTGTGAATTTATCAGTTGTAAATGGTTTATAGGCCCTCTCATGACTTGCATTTATTATTTTTTAAAGCCTTGCAAATAGTAGTATTTAGACTGAATTTTGGTTTTTTTTATTTAAAATATTTTGAATGTTGCACAGTATCATTTGAGCTATTATTAAATTTTATATTGAATATATTAAATAATTACTATTAAGTTATGTATTTTAACTTAAGTTTAGCTATAGTAAGACTGAGATGTATTAATTTTACTATAATGGTTTTTTATTTTCAGAATATTTGAAGGATTAAATAATATACCAATGTCAGTAAAGTACTATAAAAAAACACTAGAATGGGATGCTACAGATATGGAGGCTATTGCTTGTATAGGATTGAATCACTTTTATTCTGACCAACCAGAAGTTGCATTGAGATATTATAGGTATACATTAAGATGTTTAAATAAAAAACTATATTTTAGATTACTATTTTTTTTTAAATATTTTCACTGGTTGTTTGAAAAATCCCAGGACTAACAAATAAAAATATTTTTTTTTTTTGCAAAATTTGATTTTATTCATCGATATAGTTTTCTTCTAGAATGTACATTCATTCCAGTGTCATTCTAACATTTTTATGCATTTCAAATAGAACAATTTATCTTTGCCCTTAAAATACGTCTCAGTTTCAGTAATGACTTCTTCATTCGTGCTCTTTTTTTCCCTGGAGTCTTTTGAAGGTTGATACTAACTAAATATCATAAGGACAATATACTAACAACCTGTTAAAAACTTCATAAATTAGGCGTGAAACTATAATACAAACAAATTCTAAAATGGTGCTTCTTAATATATTTAGTAAAAATAATACTAATTAGTACATTAATAATAATAATTAGTACATTAAGCCAACTATATTTTTTAATGAATTGATTTCATTATAATATTAGATAAATTTTGGACTAATTTTAAAAGTTATAAAAAAAAAAGTATCTGTTTTTAAATAGAAAATTAGAAGTATAGAGTATAGAAAACTATTTCAATCAGTACCAATTTTAGAATTTTCAGCAACTTGGTAAGAATTATTTTTCTCCAAAAAAAGATTATTTGAATATTTTTTTCAAATCGACGAGCAAAGAAAAACAATTTTCACTTTTACTTGTTTTAAATACCATTGCTTAAAGCTTCAAGCCTTTTTTTTAATTTTTATGATAAACGTTAATATTATATTCAATTCAATTTTTAGTAGACCATTTTTATAGTGTTTATTATTAAATATTTCAGGAGATTGCTGCAAATGGGATTATATAATACTGAAATATTCAACAACTTAGGATTATGTTCTTTTTATGCCCAACAATTTGATGTAGTTGTGGTCTGCTTTGAAAATGCTCTACGACTTGCTTTAGATGATAATGCTGCAGATGTTTGGTATAATATTAGTCATGTGGCTATTGTAAGTATTTTATATTTATACTCACACAATTCATACATAACAGCCTCTCTATTGAATAATAAATGTTTAGATAGATTTAAAAACATTAAAGTTAAAGTAATTAGGTGTTAATTTTTTTATATATAAATAACATATTGAATCCTNTCTCTATTGAATAATTAATGTTTAGATAGATTTAATAACGTTAAAGTTAAAGTAATTAGGTGTTCATTTTTTTAAATATAAATAACATATTGAATCCTAATTTCAAAAAAAAAAAACTTCATTAAATGTGGGTAAATCCAAATTTATTTAACTACATCCTATACAAAATGTAGTGTTTGTTAAACATTTACATTAAGTGAAATATATGTTATTGATGTAAAAATTCACAAATTAATCAAATATATGTTTCATATACTTATAAATAAGTTATATAGTATTGTTAATTATAATGAATCAATGATTACTGTAGAAAGTGTCAAATTATAAATTTATTGTAAACAAAATAAAAAAAAAAATAATGACATTTAAAATTTTGAATTTATACAATATTGAACTTAAATTATTGCTTCAGGAGTGAATTATTTTATAAAATATTTAACTAATGTATTAATAAATAAAAAAATTTATGTTATGTAGGGATTTGGAGATTTAGATATAGCTGAAAATTGTTTGCATTTAGCATTATCTATAAATAGTTCCCATGCTGCAGTTCTCAACAACCTTGCTGTATTACAATGGTTCAAAAATGACATTTCTAAAGCTAAATCATTATTAAATTCAGCTATTGCTGCAGAAGATCATCTTTATGAACCTTTTTATAATAAAGCTATATTAGCTCAAGAGGTAATTCAGTTTTATACTTATATCTTTATAAATATACAAATAACGTATATGTTAAATGTTTATTAGATATTCTTGAGTTTTCATTGAATGAATTTCAAAAAAAGTCAATATAGTACTGTTACTTATATACTAGTATTATAGCAATGATAATTATTTTCAGGAAGGTGATCACCAATCTAGCTATGTGATGATAAAGAAATCTCTTGAAGTTTATCCAAATCATTATAACTCTAAAGACATTTTAAGTGAATTAAAAAAATATTTTTCTAGTCTATAAAAATAGTTTTTTTTAATATTGTACCAAAATAAATATTAAATTAAATTTATCTGGTCAAGTTTTTTATTGGTATATTTAACATAATTTATTTTATCATTTATGGTATACACATTCTATTAAATGCAATTATTCAAATAATAAATAAGTATATGTTACACTTACTGATTTAAAAAATTATTGATAAAAGTTAATTAATTGGAAGAATTAAAAAGTATCCTTATTGATAAAATCATAATATAAAAATGTATGTATTGAAGTTCTATTTTTGACACTGTTAAGATGAGAATCTCTATTTCAGAATAGATGTATTTTTAATATGAATAAAATTTCAAATTAAAATCCAATTCCTTTTTTGGCTGCAATAGGAAGAAACTCTCCTTGTAAATATGGATTAAATGCCTAAAAATAAATATTTATACAATATTTTGATAAAATTTAGTGTTAAAATAGTCAAATTGTTAAACATTTTTCAAATTATTTAATACTAAATTAGCTAAATTAATACTAAATCTACCTTTTTCACATGAAATTTTTTTGCTACTAAGTTTTTATGTTCATCCTCGACCTTAAAAAGAAAAACATTAAAATTATATTTTTGCATTTTTTTTATTATATTATTACTTGAAATTTTCTGACTAATTCATCTACATCAACATTATTCTTGTTGACAGAATTTGCTCGACCACAATCAAACATATGTTCAGAATCACACATACATTCTTGTGATTCTTGATATTCTCGACTAAATGCTGCTGTATTTTCAAAATCAATTATACAACCATCTTCCTCTGTAATATTTTATGAATAATTAAAATATAGCCTTTAAAATAACAAAATTATTTTNTTATGAATAATTAAAATATGGTCTTTAAAATAACAAAATTATTTTTATCTTCATTATTCTCATTCAAACACGTTTTTACAAATTTAAATGTGGAGGGGTAAACAATAATAAAAATTTTCAAAAAATTAACAAATACTTTTACATCTGCATATGGTCAGTAAAAAATACACTTGACCCTCTTTACCAACTCTAAATACTCTAATGTTCTCATATTAACATGAAACTCTTTAATTAAAATTAATTTCATTTTTTAATTACACTATTAAATATTTAAACGAAATAATCAATTAATGTAACATAGAAGTATGATTAGAAAGATTGTATTCATACCTGTATAACCAACAGGACATGGATTTGGTGGATTGCAGTAAGCAGGTAGTGTAGAATCTGTTTTTATTTCATTTTTATTTTTTAAAGGATTTTCTGGATTTAAAGTTTGAATTCCTTCTCCTGCGCCACCTATTTCTCAAATAACATGTTATTTTACATCATTACCTAAGACATCAATATGTATATTTTCAATAGAACTTACCGCTTACATAATGTGCACCCCATAAAGTACTGTGTTGTAAATATTCGTTATCCCGGATAGCCGGCATTATGTTAGTTTCCTCAATATCATCCTCATAATCCATAAAGTTTTCCGAATCTTGATATGAATTTTTCATTTGACCTAACTGTAGATACTTATTATTTATTTCTGACTTAGCTATATCTTTTTCAAGTTGGTTGATGACATTTTCTAAGAGTTTTGTTCGCATGTACTCAGAGCTCTACAAAATTATAAATAACTTACACATTTAATTTACAATGAATTTCATATTAAATGTTTTTATACATTTTTATATATTGTATAATTTACACAATGTTTTATATAACAATATCGGATTTAAATTTAACCAACGTGTGCGACGACACATAACATTTCTGTCAGGAAAATGCTATTGTCATGTGTCAAATATCATGTACCATTATATTTTTATAAGTTAAAAAGGTTTTTTATTTTTTGCTGGTCACTTAAAAAAAAAGTAGTACGTTAAATATGGAGCGACAAAATATTTCTTTTCCAATGAAAAATTGCTGAAAATACTAATACCGGTACTGTAGAGTATAGATTGTAAATATATTTATTTTGTCAAAATAAAAAGTAGATAATAATTGTTTAACTAATTCTAGAGTTGGAGTTCGTAACCAAAAAATGAAAAGGTTCTAACATAATCATTTTTATTTTTTTTTTCTCAATTATTACATTCAAAAATTAAATACGCATCTTTTTAGTCTTGAATGAATTCGTTACTCTTTTTAAATAGCGAGTTAACTTACATAAACAAATTTAAAGTTCTATATAACTATAAAATAATTTTATTTTTAAAAACGATTCATTGAAAAAACATCTGTTTCTTCGTTAAAACGTTTTCATTCTCAGGCGACAACTTATCGGTAAAGATAATATTTTTACTTAGTACTTTTTATTATACATTTCAATTAAAATCCGAATTGAACATACAGACTTAAAACAAAATAATATTTGTTAGACGGCTTCCTAACTATTTTTTTTGTTAAACGTTTAGTAAGTGAATTACTTATTTGATTTAGTTCAAAGTTTTATTGATAAAAGTAAAATTTTAATATTAAATATTGAGCTTTTTAACTTACTTTGATATTTTCGGAAAATTTGCCATACGCGATGACGCATATAGGAACCATTGCTAAAAAGAGAATGATACCGTGCATTGCCATAATGATGAAATTTTTCATATATCTGTAGATTAAAACAAAAAAATTTTATAATAAAATGCAGGAGAAGCAGAGTGCAAGTATACTAAAAAGTCCGATAAATGATCATGAGTTAACCCATATGGGTTGTTTTCTATAACTGTGTCATTTTGTCAAAATAACATTCGTGCAATTTTTAAAATATGTTTGTATTTTAATTAGGCGGTAATTACATATTTTTATATGATTATGAGTGTTTTACTTTTTCAACGTGTTGACCCGCTTTCAATTTTTGTTTTTAATTACCTTTTTAAGCGATATAACCCGCATAAATGACTGTGTCTACTGTGCTCCACAGGTAGACGACGACGACAGCAGTAGTAAAGCAGGCTACGTCGTCAGTGGGGGTCCAACTTGGAGCGGATCAATAAGAGTGGTGCTATGAGATGCGAATACCCGACAAATACTACCAAAACTTCCATGCGTTATATGGTTGCTCGGGGTAAGCGCGCGCATTACCTAGTGAAAAGCGCTAGTCCTCCTCATTCGCCTCTGTTTAAATGAATGATGTGAAATTATTGGAATGTCAATAAATATATTACCTATTATATATAATTGTATGCAATAAAACAATGCAAATTAGTCTTTTTTTTCTAAACGGTCGACAAAAGTGTGAGCCGCTCTTACCTGTCGTATGACAATCTTCAGGTAACTCACGTTATCTCTAATGCACATCAGTCTAACTAAGTTTCTACTTAATAAAATTTATAAAATTCATTGAATACGTAATTTGAATTGGGTATATCTAATTAACTATATATAATTCAGACATATCTAAGTAAACAAGTAAATTGTGTGCTTTTTTACAATTTTTAAAAACTTGAGTTTTCAAATTAATATTCATTAGGATCTTAGTAGTTAAAATCATTTTTTTAATTCTTAAAATTTTAGGTATAATAAGACCAGGGATTGGAATCATAGTTTTCCATAGGTACAGGTTCGAATAGTGGCTTAGCCAGAATTTCAAAATGGGGAGTATAATGAAAAAAATTACACAGTTTCATATTTTAAAATTTTATTTTTTTTATTCATTACTTTATTTTAGAAATTCCTCTTGGCGTCAATGGGAGGAGTAATGCTACCTAAGTCTCCCAGCTATGACACTTGGTTCGGATTCTGATGACATCTATCTAACAGATACTTAGTATTATTACTATAAAAAAAAAAATGCAATTCTGGTTTTCAGATAAATTTATTTTTACACAAGAATTCTAGCGCTACAAGTGGTAAATAACTTAGTTGTTATCATAATAAAAGCAATATTATCAAGTACTAAAACTTTTTCAAATAATAAATGGAAACTGATAAAAATCCTTAGCCGTCTTTAGGAAATCATACTTGCAATTGTATATATTATAATTTAGCAAAATTTAGGGTCAAATTGAATTTTCCTCTTAATATGTCCAAATATCACATATTATCTTGCCAGAATACCTCTATCTAAGCAAAAATACTTTAGATTTGTAATTAAAATCTATCTATAGAGCTTAGCTGTATTACATTAATTATTCTGATTGACTCGTGACATAAAAATAGATATTGCGTTATACATTATTTTATTAATATTGAATTTCATATTTTTTTTTATAAGATAATATGAAAGTAGTTGTGCAACGCGTTTTGAGAGCTAAAGTTACAGGTAGGTTATACTTTTAAAATAATTTGAAATATTCATACTCTTATGATTATTAAATAACAATTATAATATTTAATGCTGATAGTTATTACTCTGTATTTAATTCTATTTAATTTTTAGTTGATAGCCAAGAAGTAAATTCAATAAAAAATGGTTTATGCTTACTAGTTGGATTGCATAAATTTGACCAAAGAACTGATATTGATTATATGTTAGTGAGTTTGATAAATTTAATTTCCATTTTCAATTGTAAAATGTAAGAATTAAAATTTTTTGTGTTATTATTCGTATAAATTGTGTAAATAAAATTTATTTCATAGAATTGATGCTGTATTTATTTTAGGGTTCAAAAAATTTTAAAACTCCGGCTTTTTGATGATGAAGGTAAAAAATGGCATGCTAATGTTGTTGATATGGGATATGAGATCTTATCTATTAGTCAATTTACATTATGTTATAAGTTGAAAGGTAATAAACTGGACTTTCATCAGGCTATGCCAGGTGATAATGCTCGTCAAAATTACCAATATTTTTTAGATTCTTTGAAAAATTTTTATAGTGAAACCAAAATTAAAGGTAATATTAAATATTACAAATAATTACATATTTATAAACTATTTATTAATTCTTTAATGTATTAATAATATCAAAATTAACCAGAATATTGATCAGTTTTTATTGTTAAGTTTGATGTATAAAAATGATCTTTGATGTTCAAATAATATTTCATACTATTTTTATTTTCTATTTAAATGTGTGTAATGAATTTCAGATGGAGTTTTTGGAGGTAAAATGGAAGTTGAAATTCTAAATGATGGACCAGTAACAGTACAATTAGAATCAGGAGAAAAAAATTCTTCTGACATTTATAATGAAAAATTGGATGTTAAATTGAATTAAAACTCTTTATCTTTATTAATGTTACTTCACTTGGCTGTATTTATGTTTATTGAAATTTATGTTAAATAAAAGCTTAAATTTTGTACTTAAATATTTTTGACATTAACATTAAAATAAATGAGAAAAGAGTGTTTCTGGAAATCTCTACCACAAAATTTACAGTAACTATTAAAAACAATAAAAAAACTTTTACATCTTAATAAATGCTTAAAAATTCTAATAGCTCACCAATTAGATTGATCATTTTAATAAATAAAAAGTTATTTAATGTTTCTATTTTTAATTTATTACATTTATTAATATTTGTATTAGCATTTATCAATGTTGAGTTAATATAAACTAATTTTACAGTAAACAAGTCCGATATTTTTTTAATTTTAACCAACACTTACCAAAAGAGTAGTAATTATTAAATAAAAATGACTTTTTTTTTTAAATAAAACCTATTTTTTAATTTTAAGATAAATTTTATTTTATACAAATAGTAGACAGTATTCACTGATTTTCAAATTTTTAACAATATTCAATATGTTTTGTTGTCTATTAAGTGTTTCTAAATAACTCTACTTATGTTATATTATTAATCTTTAAATTAGTTTTTAGATGTAATTTTCTTTAAATCATATTAAGCAAAATTATATACTGAAAGAGAAAATTACCAGCTGACCTTAATTTTAATAAGTATTAAGGTGATAATTAAAAGATGATTTTATACAAATATCTAAGTATAAATTACTAGAAAAAAACAAACGGACATTTAATTTTTAAGAGCACTGTTAATATTTTTATTTGAATAATGCCTATAAACTTTCTAATAAAAGGAAATAGCTACAATATCTAATGAACGAAAAACTGTGATTTTGTTAATTTAAAAAAATTGGTTTTTATTCGATTATTCTTCAAATAATTCCATTAAAACACATTATATAAAAATTTGTATTTGAATGTAGACTAAAATCTCCCATTATTCAAAATTATTATTTACATTTAAGGGATAATTAGTCAATTTAATTATCTGAAGGAAGTTTTAAAACAAATAACCCTTGAGTATGGAAAATATTATGGTTTTAAAACAACTTTTACATGCAGAATAAATAAAACTAATTAAAAAGAGTACTTGTGTGTCCGTAATAATAACTTTTCTAATTATTAACATTGATAGTTAATGTTTATTGAGTTATTTAACGTTATTAACTCAATTTACCTAAGAAATTCACTCAATATTACGTCATTTTTATTGGTTAACAGAAATTTAATACAGTTAAAAAAATAGCTATTAAGGTATAAATATTTTGTATATTTTTTCTGTTTGCTGAATTAGTTAAATTTGATGTATTCATTGGAGAAAATGTGCCTTGGAGCGCAAATGCAGTAGTACCGCAATATCTTTTGTATATTTTCATATTAGGTTTTCTTGGTTCTGACCCATCTAGAAAACTTCTAAAAGCTGATGTAGTTATCCATATAAATCCATGTGTATCGAATGCCAAGCTAGTAATCCATTCTAGCCTTATATCTTGTGTGTATAGCTCTGTAACTTCAAAGTTGTGTCTAAGTGTATTCCAAACTATTATTTTTTTTGGCATTGCTAAAAACAAATTTCCGGCTGTATCAAATGTCATAGCCGTTGACTTATCTGGTTTAAATCCTTGATTATTAACATGATGGCTAACATCAATTAGTAATGATGCATCAAATACACTCATTGGTATTGTGTAAAGTTTGTCCAGTTGTACCGTTGTAAAATATAATAAGCTATCGATAGCTGAGACCACCATTTGAGCCTCATCGTAACCTTTCTTTCCATACAGAATTTGACAACTAAACTTTTGGTAGATTCCTGTTTGAAAGTTGTACGCAATAAAACCTGGGTCAGGTCCTAAATCGGTGATTATGGCCATCATAGTTTTTAAGTCAATTGTGAGGCCACTGAGTACACTTTGAATTGTGAACATGGACTTTGGCAAAATTGCTGACCGAACAATTTTATTTGATCTAAGATCAATTACCACTAATTTAGGATCACACGTGTAGTTGGCTTGGTACATGTCGTTCACTTTTCCGACGTCTAATGCCCATAGTTGTCCTAGATGATCCACTTCGATATCTTTGATATTCTGTAAACCGAAGCAGTTTCCTACGGTTTGAAAACCTAATGACGGATATGGTTCGACTACGTCCACCTTAGAACTCTGACATAACGTTGCTGGTACACCAGGTCTGAATCTCGGAACAGCAAAATACAGCGTGTTGTTCCATATCCTTAGCCGATGTACAATATTATTTTCGGGTATATACGGTTCTAAGTTAGTTAGCTCTCTACCATTTGTCGATAGTTTAATTTTATCCCAGTGGTATACCATTCTGAGTTCACTTAAACAGCCATTTAAACATAATAAACACGCAATCACTTTGGCGAGAAGACTAAATGACATATCGAACAACTTAAAATCGACATACAAACTGAACGACAACGCAGACAAATACTACACAAATATGACATACCAATTATTACCAGTTAAAAAACATGGTTGTGACCTCTGTTCAAAAACAATCGTTTTCAATATAGTGTTATGCTATGAGAACTATTTTTAAAATATTTATTTTCGCATAAGTTTTGTTATTTTCTCATTAAAATTCAGTTTCTCGTAATCACCTTAGATAATCGAGATGTATTCAATGCTACGTTTGTACACTTAAAACAAAAGGATATAACCATTATGCATTTACACAGTAATAACGAGACCATTCATCAATCATTACTGAGAGAATATAGTCAGCAGCTTGAAAATGATTTAATAAAAGAATATTTTTGAACTAGATTTAAATAATATTGTACGCTAGAACTGGAGCAATCATCAACAAACTAAAACAAGTTAATGACAAGAAAAATACCGGAACCTATTATTATTTACTTATTTTTTAAAGATAAAGGTTTTTAAAGATTATTAGGTTTTTATTCGCATAATGACTAACATCGTATCAACAAGATGATAGTGCAATAACTAGTTTTAGTTAAACTAGATATTTTGTTTTAATTTTTAATTTTGTTATTCTGAATAGTTTTTAACCCTATGAGTAGTTTATTCAAATACAATAAACTAGAGGACGGTTAATCTATCAATTCATATCAGGTCTAAGGTATTTTTTGTTAGTGTAATCTAGGGGTGTTCTCTAAATTTTACCTTTGATCGAATATTAATAAGAAAAATATTTACTAACCCTTCCCAGAGAAAAAATATACATTAATTTTGTAATTATTTTCGTTTTAAGGACGATCTTTCTTCTTATAAACGTAGTGAAAATTTATTACACGTATATCCCCCAAGACAAAATCCTGAGAACGTTTTTGAGCAATAATTTAATTAATCATTTTGGATTGAAACCTTTTATGGAAAAATAATATTATAAGTACGAAAAAACAGAACAATTACAGTATCTTAAGATAAATTTTTTTAGAACCCGAACCTATAAAGAACTATAGCCCTAGTCCCTGACATTAAGGAACTCTTTCAACTTTTAACATACATATTATGGAGTTTTAAGTAGATTAAAATAATATACTATTAAAAATAAATAAGATTAATATATATAAATATTTTCACATTTTAATTTTTGTTTGACTTAATAAAATAATATGTAAATGCAATAATGAAAAAATTAAATTTGTATTTGTAGAAGACTTGTAATTTTTAAACTTGCTGATTTATAGTTTATATAAAACTTATTCATCAAATTTATTTAATTATTTTAAATTAAACACTTTTAAGTGTTATACAATATAATATTAAAGTATTTTTGTGCTGTATCATACAGTTTATATCTTTCAAGCCGTTAAACAAGTTTAAATATTTATAACTAGTATAGTTATACAGTTATAGTAAGAGGATGATGTTTGTACCGTAAACTTTTGGAAATGTATGTATAGATATATCATACTTTAGACCCGGGAAAAAAATCAATACGATCGTAGCGCTCCAATCCCCACAAATCGCCCAGTCGTAGTGGCGAAACGCAAGCTATGTGGTTGACTCCGCTCTTTGTTAGAACTTTCCAAACAAAATTATTAACCATGATCGTCATTATTTACATATAATTTAATAAAACTACGACCTCCACAGGTCGAATATAAAATCAGTTACAGTATGTTGTTAAATTTCATATTACTTTTGTTTTTGTTGATTTTCATCAGCGTACAGTCTTCTCTACAACACGATGATAAAGTGTTACATATCGGTGGCATCTTTCCTATTAATGGAAAAGGAGGATGGCAAGGAGGACAAGCTTGTGAGCCAGCTGTCCGGCTTGCTTTAGAAGACGTTAACAAGAATAGTGTCCTATCTGAATATCAACTCAAGTTACATTGGAATGATAGCGAAGTAAGTCAATTTTCATTATGTACTTCATAAACCACCCTATGGAATATTTAATTACTACTAAAGTAATTTTCAAGATCAAAATAAAATTTTTTTCTTTGTGTAGTTAATAATCTATAATTTTTATATTAGCCACTAATAGTTGTTAGCTTTTATAATAGAAAGGTAACAAATTATTAGTTTTATCTTCAACCATAATAAAATAAGTGGGCGTAACTTAAGTTTTTATCGGCCTGTATATAATATTAATATGACGTAATAATATTTCATGCGTACTTTTAGCTTAAGTCAATTATACATGTTTACTACTAAAATAGATTTTAACGCTAAAAATTATTCATTATCTTGATTTAACATTAATATTTACGTGTATGCACGAGTATTAAATATGATAGATATAAAGGTTAGAACCCTTTTGATGAAATAATAATGTGCTAAAAATAAAATTTAAAGGAATTGATAAAAAATGTTTTTTACAAATAATACCAATAATACGTGTACGAAAAGAATGGTAATAAGAGAAAGAGTAATTTTCATTTAAAATAAGTAGTTTTAATTTTTTATTCTATTTTCTCTTTTTTTATCTCATTCGAAATTGATTTTAAAGGTGTATTTGTCATTTACAATACAAAAATATTTGTAATAAAATATAAAAGAGTTAAATAAACATCAAACTCCACAAACAAATAATTGTGGTTTGTGTCTGAAAGGACCAATTCAAAAAATTTACTCCTTTTTTTATAATTTTTAAATAGACATAAAATACATATATTCCTATATTTTATAGATGAATTAATTATGTAATTTATCTATAAAAGTTGTTTGAAAAATAGATAAAAATAATTAGTTAACAATAATAATAATAGATAAACATAATTTCAATCAAAACAATTTTTTTTAAGACTCAAAAGAAACATGTATATTTTATTAAGCTAAATATTAAAATAATTTTTTTATTTGTATTGAACATTTTAGTGTGATCCTGGACTTAGTGCTTCGGTTTTGTATGATTTATTATACAATAAACCACAAAAGCTAATGTTATTGGCTGGTTGTAGTACTGTGTGTACAACAGTCGCAGAAGCGGCCAAAATGTGGAATTTAGTTGTTGTAAGTAAAAATTATTACATTACTCTAGTGAGATAATTTTTGTAGTGAATTCATATTTTTAATTAAAAAAATATTTCAGCTTTGTTATGGTGCTAGTTCGCCAGCATTGTCAGATCGAAATCGTTTTCCTACATTATTTAGAACGCATCCTTCGGCTACCGTCCATAGCCCAACCAGAATCACGTTAATGAAAAAGTTTGGATGGTATAGGATTGCAATTCTTCAACAAACTGAAGAGGTGTTCATTTCTGTAGGTTATTTAGACTTTATAATATTTATAAAAAGTATTCATTTTGAAATGTTTGAAAACTTTCAGACAATGGAAGACATAGAAACACGTTGTAAACAAAATGGAATTGAAATAATTACAAGACAAAGCTTTCTAAGTGATCCCACCGATGCTGTTAAAAATTTACGAAGGCAGGATGCAAGAATCATTGTAGGACTATTTTATGTCGTGGCTGCCAGAAAAGTTCTTTGTGAAATATATAAACAGCAAATGTATGGAAAAGCTTATGTTTGGTTCTTTATAGGTAAATATATAGTTTCAAATGTAGTGTTATGTAGATTTTTAAGCATTGGGAGTATATAAAATGTATTTATAATAAATAGGATGGTATGAAGACAACTGGTTCGAAGTTAATTTGGATAAAGAAGGTGTTGAATGTACTAAAGAACAAATGAGGATAGCTGCGGAAGGCCATATCACCACTGAAGCTTTAATGTGGAATCAAAATACTAATCAAAAAACAGTATCTGGAATGGTAATACATAAATATTAATTAAGCGAAATTGAAGATGCTACTTTTTTTTGTTCATATTAAAGAAAAATATATGATAAAAATGATTAAACTAATATTCATTGAATGTTATTTAAATATTTTTATTGAATTTTATATGTGAAATTTTTATAGCTAATATGCAAGTTCAAATTTTATTTCAGACATCAGAAGATTTTCGTCATAGATTGGAAAATGTTTTAAGAACAGAAGGATATGAAATTGATCGAGGTCGTTATCCTGAAGGTTATCAAGAAGCACCATTAGCTTATGATGCCGTATGGGCTGTAGCTTTAGGTATATTATAAAAAATGAACATTATTGGTTTAAAATATTCAAAAATAGTTTTTAATGATTATATTTTATAAAAGCTTTCAATAAAACTATGACAATATTGGAGAAACAAGGAAAATCAATTTCAGATTTTAATTATAACAATAAAGAAATCGCCGATCACATTTATTCGGCAATAAATTCAACACAGTTTCTTGGAATATCTGTAAGATATGTAATAATGACATGAATTGAACAGAGGTATAATGATGACATTTTTTTATAGGGGCGTGTGGCATTTAGTTCTCAAGGTGATCGTATTGCGTTAACTCAAATTGAACAAGTTATCGATGGAAAATATGTAAAATTAGGATACTATGATGTACAGTCTGATAATTTAACATGGTTCGAAAAAGAAAGATGGATAGGTTTGTTTTTTAGTGTTTCACGTAATTAATAACCATTAATTCATTTTGTTTTTCAGGCGGGAAAATACCACAAGATAGAACTGTTATTCGCCGAGTTTTACGAACGCTTTCTATACCATTGTTAATTTGCACATGGATAGTAACAACTATTGGAATACTAATAGCCATTAGTTTAATTATGTTTAATGTACTTAATCATCATCGACGGTACTTACTAAACTAACACTTTTATAAAAAATCATTTTTAATAACTATTTATTGAAGAAATATTTTACTTTTAGAGTTATAGCTCAATCTTATCCTGCTTGTAATACAATAATGTTATCTGGATGCGTATTGAGCTTAAGCAGCATATATTTATACGGTTTAGATGGTCAAATAATTTCGCCTGCTGTTTTTCCAAATATATGTCAGATCAAAACTTGGGTACTTTCAATCGGATTCACATTAGGTTANGTACTTTCAATTGGATTCACATTAGGTTATGGTGCTATGTATAGTAAAGTTTGGCGCGTTCATAGATTACATACAAGTCAAAAAAAGAATGCTATTAGGGTAAAAGTTTTTAACAAATATATTTACTTCTTCTTAATTGGCGTTATAACAAAATAAACATTTTAGAAAGCATTGCAACCGTGGAAAATGTATTCAATTGTAATGTTTTTATTGGCTGTTGATATTACAATTCTATTTTTGTGGCAATGTATGGATCCATTAAAGCGTAATATTCAAGTTTTTCCATTGGAAAATCCTCTCAACAGCAATGACGATGTTAAAATAATGCCCGAATTAGAACATTGCAAGAGCGAAAATCATAATTTCTGGCTAAGTAATACCTCTTTTGACCATTATAAATTGTAATTTAATTATGATATGTATAATTTTTTTTAATCATTAATATTTTCCACTGCATCAATATATAATTTTACTCGCATTACTCAGGTTTAACCCTCAGCTACAAAGGATTGCTTTTATTGTTTGGATTATTCGTTTCATATGAGACCAGAAGCGTTAAGTTAAGACAAATTAACGACTCGCGCTATGTGGGAATGTCAATTTACAATGTGGTGGTTACTTGTTTGATAACAGCTCCTGTAATAATAGTTACTGCATCACAACAAGACGCTAGTTTTGCTTTTGTATCGTTGTCTGTTATATTTTGTTGTTTCCTTTCGATGGCTTTAATATTTGTGCCGAAAGTAAGATGTACAACCGAGAGTAAAAAATGATATTTTATTATCGTGTGTTAAAAAATAATGTTAGGTAATTGAAGTAATTCGTGATCCACATGATAAACCTGAATCAAAGTACAACCCCGACGCTGGAATGTCAAAAGAAGACGAAGATAAATATAAGCGTTTAATTGATGAAAACAAACAACTTGCGCAAAAAATTAAAGAGGTAAAATCCATATGTTAAATTCAATACACTATTATACATATTGTATATGATATTTATCAAATTAGTTTGAATTAAAAATAATTATTCGTTTTATTAGAAAGAAGAACGTCTCAAACAATTAAAAGCTGATTTGGCTAGCTTGAGGGGTGATCCAGATAAGACTGAATTAAAGTGGAATGATGAATCACAGCTGACTGAACATTCGTTTTTATCACAGTCGGTAAATAAAGATACTTTAATTGTAGCAGATTTCATAACTGGCGAAGGTACATCAGATTCAGCATTTATTGCTGGTACGACTACTTCTTATTCTAGAGCTAGCGCTTCCGATGTCGAGTTTTCTGAATCATATCTGTAAACCTTTTTCCTATCTAACAATTTATTGAAAATGAATTTTGAACCCAATCGACCAAATTCAATCATTTACTTAACAGGGTGTTTTAAACAATTTCTATTTCAAAAATGGTATTCGTTTATTTATAGATAGATCTTCAGTATATCATTTTAATACGCTCTACATAGAAAACTAGAAAACAGTCTTCTCAATAAAAAATTATAAATCCAATAACACTATTACCAGATCATAATCAATAACAAAAAGTAATCATCTAATTTAAAAGACTAAAATTTAGCATTCTAGTAATACTGACATTTTCTGAAAGTTCCACGTAATTGTTGGTAATTAAAACAACTTAATATTACAATAATTACGCCAAATACAATTTATTAAACATTAATTACAATCATTGTTTTTAAAACAACGTACAACAAACACGGTTTATAGGAAATATATGTGCATGTGTTGTTTTATTTTTCTAAAATTTTATATTGCTAATTTATTATAAAAATTCTTTGAATATTTTCGATTATTTTATTTTATTGAGATAAAAATAATAGATTTTTTTTTATGGCTTATAAAGATAAATAGTGTATGCTTAATATTAATTAGTAATATCTACCAAACAATATATTGTTACAATAAAATCTTTATTTTTACTCCAAAACTTTATAAAAAGTCACATTGACATTATTATTGAAAATTAATCATTTTCCCTTTAATTTAGGTGTTTATCTATTAAATAATATGTAGTGTAGATATTAGCACCCATCAGACTTAATATTTATTGTCATCAAATATTTTTACTAGTAATAGACGCTATGTGCGCAGTTTTTTAGTTTGAAATCTAATGGTAGATAGTTACACTACTTGAAAATTTTGTTGGGAAACTTATTCAAAAATTAATCCTGCAACTTTAATTTAGCCATAAAATATTAAATACTAAATTACAGTTGCTCATTTTCTTAAACATCTCTTTCTAAATGAAAAACATATCACAATTTAATTGTACAATAAATATACATGACAAGCTCTTATATTCTATGAAACTAATAATAAAATAATAATTTAAAATTCTTAGAAATTTAAAGATTTATCTTCATTTTCATTTTTTAAATTTGAAATATGCGTTGTTAAATTTATGTTATTTGTATGAACTATTAATGCTCATTTTTCATTTTGTTAAATAGATATTTTTAATTGTTATGTTTAATAATTTGTGTATTATTTGTTAAAAAATTAAAACTCAAAATATTTTAAATAATATGACATTGTTTTGATCTCTAGACATTATTTTAATTTAAAAATTTTATTTTATAAATACATTTTAAGCAGCTGTTAAATAATTAGTATAAAACATAGGTGATTATGATCTATTACTCTAAAATACAATTATAAAGAAATGCGTCATTTTAAGTATTATAAAAGTGATTTTTAATTAAGTATATTTTAAAACATTGTGTTGACAAATCATTTAATTACCGTTTTGGAATTTTTGAAATTCTCTGTAATATTTTGAAAACCATTGATATTGTTAAAGAGTTTAATAAATATGTTACAAGATATTTGGATTATTTAAAAAACAAAAAAACTTTTTTTTTTATAATTTTTAACCCTAACTGTAGAATTGCATTGTGGTTAATTAAAGAAAATTTGTAGTAAATTTCTGTTTTGCTTTTTATTTTAAAAACATTTTTTGTGTAGCTATCAAGAATTGACGAGAACGGTCAAATGTAATCTACAGGATGAGAAGCAGTTCCAATCCAATAAACAGCGGTATTAGACACCAAACATAGAGAAATATTAAATTACAGTCTCTTTTTATTTGTTGTAAAATTTTCGCTCACTTTAATATTTTATAATTTTTTCTCAAGTAACGAGAAAAAGAATTTTTATTATTTACTACTTGTAAAATTAATCAATTTTTGTTTTTTGATATAAAAATATTTATTATGAGGCGTTATCATCGTTGCATGAAAATTCGTTGGTTGTTATTTAAATGTGTAATAGGATGCATATCTTAGAATGATTCAATAAATCAATATTAGTTATGGGTAAACGTTTTAGTAGAGGTAGTAATTTTTGAATGTCTGGATATTGTTTAGTAATAATATTTTAAATTCAAATACTTACTAAGAAATTTATATACTTTTTTATGTAATTTATCAAATGTTTTCGTTTATTATATTATAAGAACTCATAAATATATACATATATTTTTTCTAAATAGATATTTTGAATAGTAATTTTAACATAGGATCAAGTAATGATTAAAAGCGAATTTTTTAAACAAAATTTGAATTCGTAATATTTAAACAATCCATGAATACGCAAAAATATTAAACACTATTTAGTTGGTATTCAACCTGCAGTTTAATTGTATTCAATTTATAAATTTATAGACTATAAAATAATTTATTTACTCACAGATATAAAAAACGTAAAGATGATTTCAAAAATTTAAGTAAAAATAACATTTGAAAATTAATATCAAAAATAGCAAACATTATTAATTTGTAGGATCTATATATAACATATTTTCTAAACGTGTTATTAAATATTTGCATAGTAACATAAATTATTTTTAATTGCAGAGAAAATAATGGGGTAAAAAAGATAATATGTAGTATAGTATTTTGTTGGTACACGATCAAAATTTCATAATTTGCAATAAATACATTCATGTATTGTTGTGAAAATAAAAATTAGTAATATTTATTCAGAACTTTGTCATCCTCCTTTTCATTTTATTGTAATTATGATAAAACTATCAGATTAAAAAAATTAAGTACATAATGATGCTAAGAATAGTATTTTAGTTTTTGGCAATAGATATTTGTACACCAAAAAAATTTTAAAATGACTTTTAAATGAACATTTCAATAATATATTTACCTTCTTTACAAAAAAAAGGTGGAACTCATGAAACTTTGGCGTATAAATACATAATTCATAAATTAATTATAAATATATAATTTCAAATTTATTTAGTAAATTTATAAAGTTAATACATACATTTTGTTTTTCTTTGTCTTCATATAATAATTAGAAAAGATAATTCAAAAAACAAAAAAATGTTAAAAAATTATGTAGAGAACCTGTTTAAGGGAGGTGTCATATCAAATACGCCACTAGGGAAAAAGAGTATAATATACTGTATATTATATTATGAAGTATAATAGTTTTGAAAATCTTAGAAGATGATTACTCTTCTACGTTTTGATAAAACTTTTTCTGGAGAAATAAGTCTCAGATATTGAATAACATTGGCAATAAAGCTTATAAGTCAAATAAAAAATATTATGGCTTGACGTGAATAATGATTCTCAGTATTGTATAAATGGAAATTACACTCATCCTGAACGTTTTTTTTTTAATAGAAAAAAATGTTAAGACATCTCGTAAGCTCTTAAAAATAAATACGTGATACTGAATAGTGAGCTTAGAAAATCACCAGTTAATATTCGTTAGTAGTTTTTAATTATTTTTATTAAAAATGATTATTCAGAATTTATAATATTACCTGATTACGACGAGGATTATACACTTAAAAATAATAATTGGTATATTCTTTACAGCTTTTTAAAAAGTGAAAATGTAAATAACTTGCTTGTATAATTAAGTATTAAGAAAATATATAGTGGGTATTGTATATTGTTATATTCAACTATTATTATTGTAAGAATATTTTTAAAGATTTTGTACAGTACAAAAAATTATTAAATTTAACAAACTCGTTACTTATAGTGTATTATTTAATTAATTAATTAATTTTATTATGGTAAAAATTAATTTTAAAAGAGACATTATTTATAAGGGTCTAAAAATGACAAAAAGAAAATAAATTGATGAAATATTCATGTTTAAGATAGAAAAGTTTTTCTCAAAGAGCATGTTTGCATATTATTATATTATTTTAAAACGTTCAGCCGTTATATTCAAACCAGATGTCACTACCAAATGGAATATCATTAGTATTATTATGGACCCCAAGATAAACTCGGTTGGAATAATTATGCTCCTATTTCATTGAATTCATAATAAGTCATTATACATGAGTTACATTCTCAACTTTGGTTGAGCTTAATTTCCATTTTCCTTTTATCATAAAAATGTTAATGTAACAATAGGTGTATTTTAAAGGATCTAGCATAAAATATTTTAATATGGCGTATTGCACCATCTCTTAAAATCAGACTAACTAGCATTATACTATGATAGATTTACAGAATAATAAAAGAAAGTAAAAACTAAAGAGTTTTATTTTAGTTTAAATGCGAAGTTGAAAATATATTGTTTTTACAAATTATATGTTATCTTTTTGTATCTGTCCATAAAAGGTCTAACCTTTAACTAGAAGGATTTTGCTGATAAATCAAATTGAACCGAATTTAATCTACATGAACTAAGGTCTTTAATAATTAAAAAACCTTTTATTTTAAGAAATTCAGAAAAATATTTCAAATTTAGTTTATCAATCATAAAGTAATACTATGACATTTTAATGAATTTGATAAACTTAATAACTTTATAAGAAGAAAAAGTCAAATTTTAATTTCTAATTTAATTAATATTATAATTTCATTGATACTAGAGACAGCTATCTGTATTTAATATAACTTATTATAAAAATCTAATCAAAACCTCAAATATAGAAAAGGTTTCAAAGAGGTGCCCATGCATACAATTTATTTCATTTAAGTTTTGAAAATGTTCTGGAACGCATTTAAGCTATTTTAACATAATACAAAATATAATAAATATATTGTCCTAACGACTTGTCTCTCTTTTTTTTTTCATTACGGTCGACATAATGTTGGACGCCCTGTTGAACTACCGTGAGGTATTGCTTCAGGACGCCCAACGTCGCATTAAAACTCACAACACAACATGGCCTCCCCCGTTAGCCGGATCCCTGAGTGGGATCTGTTGCCCAGGCCACACCACGTGGAGGTGGGGGAAGGACTTTGGTAAGGTTGGGAAAAGAAAAACACACAAACAGATAAACACAAACACTGGAAACTACAGGCCCTGATATCCTCAGGCCTTTTTCCTTTTCCGGGGGCAATCCTTTGCCAGGTGGCCCGACCCTTTGCACGTAAAGCGTGCTCCGGATGGATCAGGGCCCTTGCAGGCACCCTGAACATGCCCCCGCTCTAGACACTTGAAGCATTGCGGCCTCTAGTCCTCTAGGGCACGCAACCTACACGACGACCAGCCTATGCGCAGTCGTGCAAATCCGGCCAGAGGAGCCGCGTCTCTAACTGGCACCTCGATCCGTATCAAGTGGCCTTTATCGCTATCGTACAACCGGACCACAACTGGTCCGGTTGATGTGGTTTCCTTACCCGTAGAGAGGATAGAGTTTGGTTGGGTTATCAACGCCACCTGGACGTCCTCTTCCTCTATCCACTCCACGACTCTCTAAGCAATTGACTTTTAAAGAAATAAACTGCAAAATTTCTGTTAAAATTGATTATATTTTTTAGGTAATTTTTATACGAAATTGTATTGAAATTTTTTTTTATTAATATCAGATATTAACCTGTAGAAAAAAATGAATATTTAACTTTTTTTGATAACAATAAATTAAATTTTTTAAATACTTTATTTAAAAAAAAATAAAATAACAAAAATACATATTATTAATATTTTGAAAAGCCTAAAGTATTTTTTTCTATTTTCTAAAATTGTATTTCGCAAATAAATGTATTTTTACTATTATTTGGACTCAATTATATAATAATTTATTAAGCTTATAACTTCTTTAATAACATAATTACTAATTGTACGAATATAATCAAAATTTAATCTTCCTATATATGGTGCACTCTAACCGAGTTTATTTATTATGCAAATTGTGACCAGTATAGCTAAACAATAGCTTCTCATAATATCGGCTAAGGGTTTGGTGAATTACAACAAAACCTTTGTATTCGGTGACCATATCTTGAGCAGGAACTGAAAATGGAAAGAAGAATAGAGGAGAGGTTATTCGCATTATATTTCGAGGTATGTAAATTTTACTCGGAGGTTTCGGAAATGTTTCCCAAAAAGCTTTCACTCGAGGTAAA